GTTATTAATGAAAAACAAACTTCCACTGGGCAAGTGGCTCACACCTGTAATTCCAGAACTTTGGGAGGCAAAGGTGGGAGGATTTCTTGAGCCCAGGAGTTAGAACAGCCTGAGTGACTGAGTGAGACCCCGTCTCCAAAAAAAAAAAAAAGAAGAAAAACACACTTCCTTTGGTGATGAGTAATAAAAAAGAACCAGCAGAAACCTTGTACAAAAATAACATAAGAAAAATATTTCACATACAAATAGATCAGAGGGTGAAAAAAAGAAAATCAAGACAAAGAAACAATGATCAAAAGAAGAGGAAATATAAGTAACAGATAGACAAAAGACACCAGAAAAAAAAATGTTTTGCCAAGGAGCAGAGAAAAATTAGCACAAGCATTAATTAGGACAATAATAATCTTTAAAGATCAACACAACATATCTACAATCATCTGATCTTTGACAAACCTGACAAAAACAAGCAATGGGGAAAGGATTCCCTGTTTAATAAATGGTATTGGGAAAACTCGCTAGCCATGGGCAGAAGCAGAAGCTGGACCCCTTCCTGACACCTTACACTAAAATTAACTCCAGATGGATTAAAGACTTAAACATAAGACCCAACACCATAAAAACCCTAGAAGAAAATCTAGGCAAAACCATTCAGGAAATAGGTATAGGCAAGGACTTCATGACCAAAACACCAAAAGCATTGACAACAAAAGCCAAAATAGACAAATGGGACCTAATCAAACTCCACAGCTTCTACACGGCAAAAGAAGCAATCATTAGAGTGAATCGCCAACCAAACATAATGGGAAAAATTTTTTGCAGTTTACCCACCTGACAAAGGGCTGATATCCAGAATTTACAAAGAGCTAAAACAGATTTACAAGAAAAAAACAAACAAGCCCATTCAAAAGTGGGCAAAGGATATGAACAGACACTTTACAAAAGAAGACATACATGAGGCCAACAAACATATGAAAAAATGTTCATCATCACTGGTCATTAGAGAAATGCAAATCAAAACTATATTGACATACCATCTCATGCCAGTTAGAATGATGATCATTAAAAAATCTAGAGACAACAGATGCTGGAGAGGATGTGGAGAAATAGGAACACTTTTACACTGTTGGTGGGAGGGTAAATTAGTTCAACCATTGTGGAAGACAGTGTGGCGATTCCTCAAGGACATAGACATAGAAATTCCATTTGACCCAGCAATCCCATTACTGGGTATATATCCAAAGGATTATAAATCGTTCTACTATAAGGACACATGCACACGAATGTTCATTGCAGCACAGTTTACAATAGCAAAGACCTAGAACCAACCCAAATGCCCATCGATGATAGGCTGGACAGGGAAAATGTGGCACATATACACCATGGAATATTAGGCAGCCATCAAAAACGATGAATTTGTGTCCTTTGTAGGGACAGGGATGAACCTGGAAACCATCATTCTCAGCAAACTGACAGAAGAGCAGAAGATCAAACACCACATGTTCTCACTCATAGGCAGGTGTTGAACAATGAGAACACATGGACACGGGGAGGGGAGCACTACACACTTGGGTCTGTTGGGGGGAAATAGGGGAGGGACAGTGGGGGTTGGGGAGTTGGGGAGAGATAGCATGGGGAGAAATGCCAGATATAGGTGAAGGGGAGGAAGGCTGCAAATCACACTGCCACGTGCGTACCTATGCAACAATCGTGCATGTATCCCAAAACCTAAAATGCAATAAAAAAAAGAAAGTAAAAAAATAATCTTTAAAGATACAATGAAGCAATCACCTCTAACAAGGATGAACATAGTGAAGAAATTTAAAAGTTCAGAGAATATAAGGTAGGAAAACAAGATGTGAACTGTGACCCAGCAAAGATCAGGAAACCCAGGGATAGAGAAAAAGATTAAATCATCACAGAAATGAAGGCAAAATTGGATGAGGCACAGGAAGAGACATGGACACAACACAACAAGAGTCACAGAAGAGAAAATGGTAGAAATGAATAAATGGAAACAAATAAATGAAGTTCAAAGAAATTAGAGAATTATACCTATGGAAGAAAAGCAGTATACAATTGGTGTACTCAATGAAAAAATAAAAATATTGAACACAGAACAAATATTTTAAAATATAATATTATAAAGCATTTCTGAATTTGAAAATGTGAATTGAAAATGTGATTTAAAGAGCATGCCATATTGTCTGGAAGACTGATCTGTATCAGGTCAGCAGATAGACATTCCTGGTAAAGACGGTGAATTTCAAAGATATAGAACCCATTGGGCGGATGAGCAAATGGATAAGTCACTTGAGAGAGCAAATAAATCATGCTTTATTTGCTTTCAGACAACTCTGCAGTATTCATCACTAGACAACCCTAGAGCAGAGCCTATGTAATCCTCAACTAGGCTGCCTAGGGTGTGTTGGCACCAGGCAAATACACTTTGTTTGTGGAGACCATGTCCATATTAAAAAAACCAATCCCTCAAAACACTGTGATACAGGCATAAATACAGACATACAGACCAATGGAATAGAATAATGAGTTCAGAAATTAACACTCACATATATGGTCAATTGATTTTTGACAAAAATAACAAGACCATTCAGTGGAGAAAGAAAATTTTCAACAAATGGTGCTGAAAAAATTGGATACTCACTTGAAAAGGAATAGGGATGGATGCTTACCTTATACTATGTACTAAGATGGACTGAAGACCTAAACATGAGCTAAGCAATTAACTTTGAAAAGAAAGCTTAGAGGACATCTTCCTGATATTGGATTTGGCAATGGTTTCTTGGAAATGACACCCAATACACAGGCAACAATATAAATAGTAGATAAACCGGGCTTCATAAAAATTAAAAACTTTTGTACAATAAAGGATACAATAAGGAGACTGAAAAGGCACAGAAAAACACAGATTGGGAGAAAAAATATTAAAGCATACATCTGATATATATCCAGAATATATAAATAATTCCTACAACTCAACAACCAAAAATAAGCAATCCAATTTAAAAATGGCCAAAGGACTTGAATACACATTTCTCCAAAGAGGATGTACAGATAGCAAAAAGTACATGAAAAGATGCTCAACATCACTAATCATTAGGAAATGCAAAGGCAAACCACAATGAGATATCACGTCTCACTCACAGGGCTAATAAAAAATGACAAGTGTTGGTGAGACTGTGGAGAAACCGGAATGCCATGCATTGCTGGTAGGAATGTAAAATGGTGCTGTCGGTGTGGGAAACATTGGGGCATATTTTGAGGAAGGCACTCCAAAGTATGAATACCCTGAGGCATGGGGCTATGGCTGAGGCCCTGCTTTTGCCTGGGATCCAAGGGCAACAATGACCTTAAGATAAAAATGTGACCTAAGGATTTTACACTCATCAAATTTTGAACATGTTCAAAACTATAGGAATATTTTCCCCATGAGCCCAGCGATGACCTAAAAATCTACAGCCAAGAAATCAGGAGTCCATGCTGAATTTTACTACCAGAACAAACTAAAGCTAATATGAGAAATAGGGAGACAAAAGAGAATGCTAACGTTATATGGCTTGAAAATGTTGAAATGCCATATTCAGCACAATTTAAGAAAGCAAAATGAAAAAAAAATTGCTTAATAGAGTAAGTATACTGATTTTTTTTAAATTTTTGATAGCTAGGAGAAAAGTGTCTCATTAAAACTGATAAGCCAACAGAGTCATAAGCACATTTGAGTATAAAGAATAACATTAGCCCATCTATGATAGACTGGACAGGGAAAATGTGGCACATATACACCATGGAATATTATGCAGCCATCAAAAACGATGAGTTCGTGTCCTTTGTAGGGACATGGATGAACCTGGAAACCATCATTCTCAACAAGCTGACACAAGAGCAGAAAATCAAACACCACATGTTCTCACTCATAGGTGGGTGTTGAAACAATGAGAACACAGGGACACAGGGAGGGGAGCATCACACACTGGGGTTTGTTGGGGGGGAAATAGGGGAGGGACAGCAGGGTGTGGGGAGTTGGGTAGAGATAGCATGGGGAGAAATGCCAGATATAGATGAAGGGGAGGAAGGCAGCAAATCACACTGCCACGTGTGTATCTATGCAACAAGCTTGCATGTTCTTCACATGTACCCCCAAACCTAAAAGGCAATAAAAAAAAAAGAATAACATTAATAAAGTTGACTCAATCAACTAAAATTAAATTAAATGGTGAAGGAGAGTGAAGAGAGAAAGAGAAATTTATTAATTTCTTCATTGGTTAAAATAGAAAATTTGTGGATACTTTCTAAGGAAACAAAAGACTAAATTATTAAATAAATGTATTATTATACAAGTAATCATTAGAACATATCTCTCTTCCATCAGGGAAATATACACAAAAAAAGAAGGTAAAGACAATAGTGAGCATAGCAAATGGTTTTTAAAAATCTACAACAAAGCATAGCATAAAATAATATAGTTAGGTCCAAATACATATCATACCAATAAATGTAAATGAATTAATAAAAACAAAATGGTATTGGCTGGGTGCAGTGGCCCATGACTGCAATCCTAGCACTTTGGGAGGCTGAGGTGGGTGGATCACTTGAGCTCAGGAATTTGAGACCAGCCTGGCCAATATGGTGAAAACCCATCTCTACTAAGAATACAAAAATTAACCAGGCATTATGGCACATGCCTGTAATCCTAGCTATTTGGGAGGCCGAGGCACGGGAATTGTTTGAACACAGGAAGCAGAGGTTGCAGCAAGCCAAGATCACATCACTGCACTCCAGCCCAGGTGGAGTATATAAAAAAAAATTTTAAATGGTATATAGTATAAAAAAATAAATGAATTAAATTCCTTATCAAAATAAAAATGCTTTCAAGATTGGGTAACAAAGTAAAGCTTATCTTGGGCATTATGATTTTCAAAGGATTGGAAAAAAAGAAGATGGTCAAAGGTATATCAGGCAAATGCAAACAAAAGAAAGTAGTATTTTTTACCTGGCAGTGGAGATACCATAATCACAAAGGTGGTTTTCTAGGGCAAGGCTCATCCATTGCACTCTGGATATGCTGACCCATATGATTTCCCCAAATGTAGGAAATTCAGCTGCATAATTTGCGAGGGACTATGTTTGCACTCTCTTCAGATTTAAAAATTTTTTAATTTTTTAATTAAAAAAAAAGAAAGTGGAATTTAGGATATTAATATGCTGCAAGGTAGACTTCAAGCCAAAACCATTAGCTAAGACAAATAAAGACAATTCCTAATACTAAAGTGTGGCATGATCCCAATAAAATGCCCCCAGGATTCTACTGTGGAGTTTAATAAGTTCATGCTAAAGGTTAAGTGGAAAATAAACATGAAAAGCCATGAAATACTTTTTTCAAAAGAAGAGGCATGAAGGGATACACCTTTCAGATGGTTTACTATATAATATACCTAAAACTCAATAATTTAAACATAGTGACTTTAATGCTTGGAGAGATAGATCTGTGGAATAGAAAAGAAAGTTTATAAATCGACCCATTTGCTTGTGGAATTTAGTATTTGGTAATGGTGTAACACAAGCCATTAAAGTAAAGACAGATTATACAGACATGTTGTTGGAACTCCTAGTTAACCATTTGGAAAAAAAGGATAATTTTGGACACATACTTTGTCCTTTGCACCAGGATAAATTCAAAATGGATCAAGGACTTAAATATAAAAAAGAATCAAAACAATAACTAGATTAAACCATGGCAGAATTCCTTATTTACCCCACAGGAAGGTCTTTATAAAACATTAACACAAAACCAAAAATCATAAAAAAAGATTCATAAATGAACTCCTATGTATCACAAACCTTCACAATCAAGTCAAAAGTTAAATTGAAAATTATAACATATATTTACAACTCACAAATTTATCACATAAAGAGCTGAACTTCCTAATATATTAAAAGCTTATGTAAATGAGAATAAGCCAATAGATAAAATGGGATGTGACGAGTGCGTTCCCAGAAAAAGCAATACAAATAACTCTAAAACTAGGAAGAGATCTCAACCTCAGTCATGCTGAGAGAAATGCAAATTCGGTCTCTCCACAACACCATTTTTCACTTTCAGTTTTGTAAAAATAAAAAGTTTAATCATGGGAGTATAAATTGGAACAAACTGTATTGAGGGAAGTTTGTGATGTTTATCAAAATTATTAATGACAAATACTGTGAATCAGTGATTAACTTGTAGAAATTTAGCATACAGATATTCTCACAAGCATACAAAATGATGTATATTTAAGGGTACTAGTCGCAATGTTGCTCATGAGAGCAAAGGCAGGACACAGCTTAAATGCTCATCAATCCAAATGATTAGTTAAATAAAGTATGGTACATCCATACATGGAATACAAACAGCCATAAAAAATTAAGAGTAGTTTGAACTGATATGGAATAATTATTAATTATTAATTGTCTGATAATAAATCCTGGAATTAAGCAGTAGCATTCCAGATTAAGAGCTGGAAAATATTTTATCAGTCCATAGAATAGCCGTGTGCAGTGGCTCACGTTTGTAATCCCAGCACTTTGGGAGGCTGAGGCAGAAGGATTGCTTGAGTCTAGGAGTTTGAGACCAGCCTGGGCAATATAGCAAGTCCTCCTCTCTTTTGTAAAGTCAATGGATCATTGAATCTAGTCCCATTAGGTTTTCTTTTATTCTGAGTAAACTATTAGATTTTCTTTATTTATATTCCCAATTCATTCAAAGAAAAAGTTAGATGTTCTCAGTAATGCATAAAATAAAATTTTTAATACGTGAGTAAAGAAAACTAGTAAAACTAAGAATTGGGGTTAAAGGGTGATAAGAAACCTGCAAGCAGAGACAAGTCTGAAAAGGAATGCTACATGGTACCTCACATTTGAAGACATGGGATATGAATTCCACTCTTGGATTTCAAGGTTCCAATGTGGAAGGAGACAATGTTAGCTACATAAACTACAGTGTCCATGAGTTTCAAAGATTAAAAGTGAATAAATATTGTTGGTAATGACACCAGAGAGAAATGTTCCCCTAGGTATTCCTAAAGGCATCTAAATGTCATTACAGAAAACACAGCTTGGGTTTTATAAGATTGTTTCCTTTAATGTATATTGACACCATGCTACTAAAGCATACTTCAGTTTGGTAAAAGCAATTCAACAAGGACCAAATGAAGCTGTCCTGAATGACAGTTTGGGGATTGGGAAATGGACACTCAGGAAAAGAATAAAGGAATATTCCCCAAATAATTTTCCATAAATTAGATTTTTTTCTCACTGAAATTTTATGGAGTATCCTTGAACTTAGTTATACAAATACACCCTAGAAGCTATCCTGGTCCTTCTACTGCCAGTTAATGTCACATATGAGGGTTTTTACAGACACCTGCAGTGGAAAATATCTTGACATCTTCTTTGGGAAGTGTAGAAGCCCAAGAACAGCAACAGCATATGCTGAACAGGAGACCCCCACTTCCAGAAGATGGTGACTAGCCAGGATGCCAAGGGCAAGAGCCATCTAGTTCTCCAGTGTCTCCCACATATACCTCCCAGGATGGCAAAGTCTCATGTGATAAGCCACAGCAACAATAATGTAGGCCACAAAATTCTTTTAACCAAATATGACAAAGCTCTCCCGTGGGCCATGAAAATGTATCAAGAAAGTACTCAAGGAATGCTTAATCTTGAGCAACATAATTCCCTCTTTGAAATTCCCATAGAGATTGGCTGCAGACTGTGTGCCTACAAAGCCACATGGTGAGCCCCATAGTAAAAGGCTGGGTCCCAACTCTCAGAAAATTCCCTAATATGTGGTAGTCATGAAATACAGATTTGTTGAATAAATTCCTAGGTATGGTTACTAGCCATAAATCTGTTAAATATTGGGCCACTTCTACCAAAATGATGCTGGTATTGATGTCAAAATAGTGGCTTTGTTGGCTTTTCATTGTCTGTATGTCAATGCTCAGGACACTTGTCTATTAGAGTTCATAGGGAACTTGGGCTTTTAAGTCATATCAGATGACAGCTCTGACATTCTCTGTACATTACTACCTAGAAACCTGTTCTGCCCATATCTGTAATGAAGAAGCTACAGCTGCCCTTTGTGGCTATTTCAGGGTCACTGCACCCCAATAGCTAATTCAGTCCCTATGTCCAGCGCCAATCCATCTTTAACTCAAAATTTTCTCTCCCAGTAGCCAGATGGCAGAGAAAATCACTGATCTCCATGCCTTTTAACTAATATTTGTATACCAAGAATGCAATAAAATCATTCCTTAACTTTTCCTTATAATATGCCTTCTGCTGTTGTCATTATTTTCTGAATATTCCCCTCTTTATTCACATCCATGTTAAAGAGAACAACACCCCCAGTCCTTGAGTTAAATGACAAATAAGCAAACCTCTAGGCTGGGTTGCAATAAAAGAAGCATCATAGCTCACTCTCTTACCTACATCAGCCTCAGAGAGAATTAGCATGAAACGTGTAAAGACTTTTAAAAATCTGAAGAGTTTGATATGGATGGAAGACCCTATAAAGCCAAAGGCAACTCTTCCCTTTAATATTCTTCTGGCTCAGATATGGATTAATGATGAGGAATTTCTGGCATCGAGATGCAAGAAAAGGGTTTAGGGAGAGAGGTTTAGCCAACTTCTTGCACATACAAAAGGACAGAGATTGAGTGAAGATGAGTGAAACTAGTGTTGAACATGACCTAGGGTCCCTTCTTGCTACCTGGTCTCCTAGTGTCACACTGGGCCTCTGAGAAGGTGCTCCCACATGGCACATGCATGCATGCATACACACTCGTTCCTCTCCCCAGTACACACACACACACACACACACACACACACACACACGCTCATCTCTACCACCACCTCCATGAAGATAGGGGTCTTCCCTCCTGTTGCTGATTCCCACATGGGTGTATCTGAACTTTCCCTTCTGCGGTTAAAGAAAACCTCCTCCTTAAATTTATCTCCTAAATAAGCAATCGCCCTTTGAGGAATTTACTATAAATTTTTTGACAAATAAAAATTGAATACATTTAGGCTGTACAACATAATATTTTGATATATACAGTATATACCTTGTGTAATGATTAGTGTAATTTGGGTAATTAACATTCATCACCTCAGATAGTCAAAGTTTTGTGGTCAGAATATCTTTGACCTACTCTTTCAGCAAATTTCAAGTATAGAGCACATTATTATTAATTACAGTTATCGTAACATACAATAGGTCTGCACTTCTTATTTTATAGCTGAAGGTTTTACACTTTGACCACTATCTCCCTTTTGCCCCTCCCCTGTCCCTGTTAACCATTGTTCTACTCTCTATTACTATGAGTGTGACTTTTTTTTTAGATTCTACATATAAATGAGATCGTGTGGTATCTGTCTTTCTGTGTACTTACTTTCTGATACTTACTTAGCATAGTATCCTAAGATTCATTCATGTTATTGCAAATGACAGGATTTCTTTCCTCTTTATGCCTTAATAACATTCATGTCTCATGTTTTCTTTATCTGTTCATCTCTTGGTAGACACTTAGATTGTATCCATATCTCCGCTATTGTGAATAGCTCTGCAATAAACATAGGAGAGCAGATATGTTCTCAAGATCGTAATTGCCTTTAGATATTGCTTTACCTATGACCAAAAGTTGAATTGCTGGAAAATATGGTGGTTCTACGTTTAATTTTTTAAGAAACTTTCCTACTGTTTCCCACAATGGCTGTGCCACCAAAAATGTTCACGGGTTCCCTTCTCCACATCTTCCCCAACACTTACTATCTAATGGCTTTTTGGTCATAGCCATCCTAAGAGGTGTGAAGTGATATCTGGTTATGGTTTTGATTTGTAGTTCCCTGATTAGTAATGTTGAGCATTTTTCATATATCCCTTGGCTATTTTTATGACTTTTTTGGAAAAATGTCTAAATGTCTATTCTTTGCCCCCTTTTTATTTTGATGGAGTCTTGCTCTGTTGCCCAGGCTGGAGTGCAGTGGTGCAATCTTGGCTCACTGCAACCTCTGCCTCCTGGGTTCAAGCAATTCTCCTGCCTCAGCCTCCTGAGGAGCTGGGATTAAAGGCACCTGCCACTGCGCCTGGCTAATTGTTA